TCTGTCTGACAATGAAAATCTGTTGTATTGTAAAATTCGTTATATCAAAATTCGTTGTAGAAAGAGTTGACTGTATTATTATTATTACTAATATCTATTTTTTCTTATTTATTTAATAATAAATAAATGAATTTTCATATGCTTAAATATTATAAATAATTATAAATAAAATTTCTTCATATTTTTTTTTGATTTTATAATAATTCTTATTGATTGATTTCTTTTAAATAAATATAACATTTATTAATAGTAAATAAAAAAATTTTGTATAATTTTTAAAAATAGAAATAAAAATAGAGATGATTTTTAAAAAAATATAAAGTTTTAAAATTTTTGATTTCAAAAATATTTTAAATATTTTTATATTATAATCTCAAATTTTTAATATATACTATTTTAATACTATTTATAATATCATCATATTAATAAATAGCTTTAATAATAAACTTTTTTCTTACTTTTTTAAATTCTTTTAAATTTTTTTATTTAATTTTTAATAGTTTTATATTTTGTTAATCTTTAACAACTTCATCTTTTATCTTTTTTAATAATATTATTTTTGTATATATTTAAATAGTTTTATTATTCTTATACAGTCAACTCTTGATATAACGAATTTTGATATAATGAATTTACAATACAACGAATCTTTAATGTAGCACAGATTATTCTATATTAAAAAAACCTTATTATACTGAATTATATTAATTAAATAATATATAATATTATTTGAAGAAAAATTTTTTAAATACAATATATAAAATGACTCTTATTATAATGAATTACAGTTATAACGAATATTTTTTTGATATAGCGAAGGATTTTTTTTAAGGATAAATTAATTTACTATATAGATAACTTAATATTTGTTCTTTTTTTAAATGTAGTAAGATACATTCTTTTAATATTAAGTCAATTAATAAAGATAAGTTTTCATGTTTTATGATCGTATTTCATGTTCTATTTTACTTTTTTTTTACATAAGTTTTTTTTCAAAATGTCAAAACAAAGTCAACTCTAACTTTCAAAAAACAACCTGAAACTTCTAAAAAATGTAAATCACTTACCATAGTACAAAAAAAAGAAGTTTGTTTAAAAAAATTAGCTTTCTTTTTTTAAAAAATAGAGACTTAGCTAAAAAGTTTAATATAAGTGAAGAAATGATTTGTGATACTTTAAAAGCAAAAAAACATTGGCTTGCTGTTGACTTTAATTCACATCAAGCTAGATTAAAACGTGAAAAGAAAGTTTCCTTTCCCCTCATTAAAGAAGTATTGACTATTTAGGCAGAAAATGCTTTTCAAACTGGTTTAGTTTTGACTGATAATATTCTTTTAACTAAGGCCTTAGAGTTCGCTTTTTTACTTAAAGAAGATAAATTTAAGAGATCAAATAGATAGGTAGATAGTTTTAATAAACAGCATAATTTAAAACAATACAATATACATAGTGAAGCTGTGAGTGCATTACTTGAAAACTTTAGTACAATTTGAAAGAATCTTTGTCAAATATTAAAAGATTATAATCCTGAAGACATTTTTAACTGCGATGAAATAGGTTTATTTTAGAAAATAAAATCTAGTTGAACAATATCTAATGGTTCAGTATTCAGAACAAAATAGTCAAAAAATTATATAACCATTTTACTTATCTGTAATGTGATTGAAAATGAAAAGTTACTTTCATTATTCATACATAAATATAAAAATCCTCAGGCTCTTAAAAATATTAATAAGAAAACTCTTTCAGTAGACTACTATTAAAACAAAAAAAGTTAGATGCAGGTGTTAATTTGGAATGAATATATTAAAAAACTCATCAACTGAATGAGAAGACAAAATTGAAACATTCTTCTTCTCGTCGATAATACTTTAACACATGCTATGCTTTGTATAAAATTCCTTACCTAACAAATATCACAATCAAATACCTACTTTTAAATATCACGTCACATCTTCAACCTTGTGATCAAGGTATCATTAATAGTTTCAAGTCATAATATTAGAAGCTATATCTACAAAATTGAGTCAAAGCTTTTAATAAGTTTTGTAAATTTAGTATTGAACCTATGGAAATTGACATTAATAAATGTATCAAATATGTAGCATATGCATAGAATAATGTTACAAGTGCTACTATTGAACATTGTTAAACAAAGGCAGATATTTTGTTTAATAATGATAATGAGAATTATGCTAATACCAAACTTAAATATCATAATACCAATATCAAACTTGAAATTCAACGTTTAAAGAAGTTGAAGAAAGTTCAAGTATTAATCAATAAACTCAGTTTTAAAAACCTTTTAGATGCTAATAAGTTCGTATAACATGACAAATCTGAGATTGCATATGAAATAATTTCTGATAAAAAAATTATCAAAGCAATTAATTCCAATAATCAAGAAAATCAAGAAAAGGAAATAGAGACACCTTTATCACAGATTACTCATGATAAAGTTATCGAATTATACAATAAAGTGATTTTATATTTAAAACAACAAGGAAGCAATTATGATATAAGAAAAGAAGAATTGAAATTTATTAAAAAGTTAAAAAAAGAAGTTTTAAAACAATGTTTTATTTCTGCAAGATAAGTTAGTATTGATAGTTTTGTTACAATAATTTAATATTTTTTTGTAATAATTTGAATATTTTTTTACATAATATGTAATATTTTTTTTGTTTTATGTGATAAATAAAGGATCATACATCCTAAATTCTAATATAATTATTCAATATGTGCATTACTTCTTTTTTAATATGCAATGATCATACTACTAGCTACTAAGCAGTAATAAAATCATGTGACATTAACGCTATAACAAATTATTTAGTATATATAACAAATAATTCATTATAGCGTTAACAAATTTTTTTATAATAAAGGTCTAATTAACTTAGATGTCAAATTCATTATATAAAGAGTTTACTGTAATAGTTTCTTCTATGATAATTTAGTATAGCATTTTTTTTATTTAATTTAATATTAATATTTTATTTATATTATTATTAGGTTTAAATTTCATATATCTTAAAATTTAAGTTAAAAGTATTATAGTAATATTCATCAAAATTTATGATTTTAGAAAAAAATCTTTATTTTTACAAATATCTGAATTTCTTGAATTAACTTTACAATTTATATATTTTAGAATTTAAAGATTTATTTAGTTGAACTTGATGACTAACTCAAAAATAAATTAATATAATATATCACAATTAATTTTCAAATGAATAATGTTAAGCAAAAATAAAAAATTATTAAAATTATTCTATTTGTATAAAATTAATTTGCTATAGTTAATTACTTTTTATATTATAAACTAATTTAATTTATAAATTTTAGATAATATATAATAATAAAATAAAATAAAGTATAGATATAAAATTACTAAAAGTAATAATAATAAAGAAAAATAAGTTATTTATTATAATGAGAGTAATTGGATAAATCTAATAAATTAGATAAATTTTGCTAATCTGATTTTCTAAATGTAGTATTTTGTTATATTTAATAATTCTTATGTAATATAATTCTAATATTAATTACATGATATTAAACTTAAATGATCATTGACTAAGCTTTAGCCCAAATTATAAAAAATTTTGAATAATAAATTAACTCATATGATTTAATTAATTTCAAATTTAAGTCAATTATTTTGAATTTCATAACTTTATGTAAATTATTTTTAAAATTCTAATTGGTAATTTAATAAAATGTTAAAGAGATTAGTGTTATAATTTCTTTCGAATATAGATCTTTAACACAATTTTTATAATTAAAAATAATTTATTAATAAAAAAAAAATGAATAAAAATGATTTTGTAATTTTGCATTTGAATTTCTTTATAAATCATGTGTGATTCGTGCAACAATCGAAGGAAACGTGTTTTCAAACATTTTAAAGTCACGTGAAGATCTAAATTTGAATTTTTGATTTATGATGCAAAAAATCATCTCAATAAAGGTTCTTTTATTCTTGCTTTTAGAAAACCATTAGAAAAATGACTGAACATAAATATAAACTTCTTTGTATGGGTAATCCTTTGTTGGATATCCAAGTTACTGCTGATAAAGCTTTACTTAATAAGTGAGAAAATTTATATTAATACGAGTGAAGGTTGAGAAAAGAATTTGGAATTAACGAATTCACATTTAGATATGGTCTTAAAGCAAATGATGCTATTCTTGCCGAAGATAAACATAAACCAATGTAATTAAATGATGATTATTTTTTGATTTCTGTTACATAACCGAATTTTGCAATTAACTCTATTTTTTTTTTTGATATCTTAAGGTACGAAGAACTCGTTAAAAATTATACTCCCGTTTACGTAGCAGGAGGTGCTGCTCAAAATGCTGCTCGTGGTGCTCAGGTAACAAATCAATATTATTCATTACATTATGATTCCTTTTTTGAGTACAATTTAATTTCTTTTTTTGTTTATTTCAACATAGTTTTTGCTACCACCAAAGTCCACAATTTATTTTGGGTGTGTTGGTGATGATAAATATGCTCAAGAAATGAGAAATGCGGCCAACAATGAAGGGCTAACTATTGATTATTTAGTTAATAAAGAATTTCCAACTGGAACTTGTGGTGTGATTATCACTGATCATAATAGGTAATTGATTCACATCCTTCAATCTAACCTTTTAACAAAGTTAATATTGACGTAAGTAAAAATACATGATATATATAGATCATTAGTAGCAAATTTGTCAGCAGCAGAAAAATATAATGAAACGGAACATTTGGATTTACCAGAAAAATGGAAAATTGTAGAAAATACCGAGTATTATTATGTTGGAGGATTTTTTTTAACCGTATCACCTAGTTCTATCTTAAAAATTGCCAAGCATGCTGCTGATAAAAATAAAGTAAGGATTAAGATGTGATGTTCTTTTATTTTAATTTATTATTTTTTTTTTTTTAATAAAATAAATAATAATTTTATGTTTCATGATATAGTTATTTAGTATGAATTTATCAGCACCATTTTTATCAAAATTTTTTAAAAAACCTATGAATGAAATAGCTCCTTATTGGGATTTAATTATTGGTAACGAAGAAGAAGCTGAAGCATTCGCTGAATCAGAAGATTGGAAGGTAATCACATAACACTATTTCTTATTGCATTCCTGTTACATTCATACCTTTTGAAAACCAACCTTTTTCTCTCCTTTAATATTAGACAGAAGATTTGAAAGAAATCGCTAAAAAAATGGCACAATTGCCAAAAGTTAATAAAAAACGTCAACGTATCGTCGTCATTACTCATGGAGCAGAATCAACTATAGTAGCAGAACAAGAAGGTGCTTTAAAAGAATATCCAATTCTTAGTATAAATCCAAAAGATATAGTTGATACTAATGGAGCAGGTGATGCTTTTGTTGGTGGATTTTTAAGTCAATATGTTCAAGGTAAACCTATTGATGAATGTGTCTCTGCTGGTCATTGGTTAGCTAATATTAATATTAAACGCGTTGGTCCTACTTATCCCGAAGAAAAAATTCCCTATCCTGGTAATTAATTATTCTGTAGTTAGATAAATTTTTACTATTAAAAAATTGGAAACAAAGGAATAAGTAGTAACTTTCAGTCCATGTTTCTATTTAATTAAATTCATTCATATTTATAAATATCAAAAAAATGTCTAAATGTTTTTCCATCAAATTTGGAATAAAAAGTATTGAACAAATAATAGTATGAAAAAAAAAAAAAAAATTCTAATACTAAATAAAATTGAATGATGTGTATCATTCTATATTAAAAATAAAATAAAAAAAAAAAATGCAATGAAATTTACAATTGAAATAAATACCAACTACTAAAAATTTGTTGTAAAATTGTAACAATCCCTATCGAAACCAATACATGAATATTAATTAAATATACATAACTCTGGTTTCCGTTAAAGAAATTTATATAATTATTAGCAAATCCAATAAATGATGATATGTATTATATATACTTGTAACTAAAAAATTTACAATCAAAATAAATAAATAAAATATTCAAAAGTTCCAACATCAACATTATATATATAAATGCAAATAATAATATTATAATAATAATAATAATAATAATAATAATAATAAAACTATAATTTAGTGAATGAATCAATTAATGAAATAAAGAGAAAACTAATTATTAGCGACCCCGTATAACGATAAATAATTATCAGTAGCACCAATTGCCATAACCATATGATGGCCAGCAAGAGCTAATGAAGTAACTTGAGCGCCCCATCCTAAAAATCCAGTATTATACCGTGCTACTGATAGATTTATTCCAGTATTTGTATTCCAAACTTTGATAAGTTGATTAGAATAAACACTATAAAAAGGTTGGAAGAAAATTCATGAGTTACGATTTTATAATAAACAAAAAAAAAAAAAAAAATTTATAATTACCTTGCAACAACGTTCGCATGATGATGAACATCCAACGCATTCATTTCAGAAACATTTGTATCGCCTATAGTAAGTTTTGAATGACTAAGCCGAATGTCCCATAATTTAATTTCTCCTGACTTGCTTCCTGAAACTAATTCACGTATTGCTCCTTTTTGCCACACAACGTTAGTTATGGTATTCTTATGTTCCTTGCTCGTTAATATCATAGCGTCCCTAGGCTGAATACGCCTATCATATACACGAACTGCTCCGTCTGCAAATCCGGCAACAAAAATATCTTCCCCATCGCTTGTAAGACTAGTAATCGAACTACTAGTTCTAGTAGGAATTTGCTAATAAAATATTTATGTCAATAAAAATCGCATAACATAATAACATGTAAACTACTAATGAAATTATACACTCACACTCATCGTAATTTCACGTGGAGCATCCCAAACTCGAATCATATTATGATCCCCACCAACTAATAAAATGCCACGTTCTTGCTGCCATTCAGCAATAAGTCCACTTCTTTGACTGTTAACCATGATCTCTGGCATAGCACGCCATGATGTTACTAATTCTAATGACGATGATAAACTATAATTTCGAAACAAACGTACTACGCCATCACCTACCAACAAAATTAAGCAAATAGAGTTTTAATACTTTGTTTGAATTTATTACAAAAAAAAAACCCCCCTCAATAAATCAAAGTTTATACTTGATCCGGTCAATAACATTGAAATTTCGTCTTCATTGATAAATTTTAATGTTGTGATTTTGCTACCAGAAGGATTTCCATTAGAAAAGGCATGTGTGCGGTAATGTTCTCTCCAATTCCAAATACTATCAAGTAAATATAAAAATTAAGTCATAATTTAATTACATATAATATATTTATAAAAATGAAATATTTTTTCACCTAATCATATCTTTGTCATTAGCAACCACTAGATGCGGTTCGAATTGGTGGAATAGCAATCTCGTGGGCTCGGAATCATTATTGAAAAATGCAATTTGCTTGTTCCATCGACTCGAGCCTTAATTTTTTTTTTAAAACAAAAAATGTTAGAATGGTTTAATAAAATAATTAAAATAAAATGTACATTATCATAATCTAAATGTACCAACCAGCTACTTCCTTTAATGGTTGAGTCGAATCGATTATACTTTCATTTCTCTTCCGACGCCATAACCTTTCATTATCATCGATGCTACCTTGCTGTTCAGATTCGGCTGGCTTAATGACGATAAATAACAGTTAGTTAAAGTAGATGTTTTCCCCTTTTGTTAATTAAAAAAAAAAAAATTTTTAATTATATTTACCCTCATTTGAGGTTCTCTGAAGTATTCACAACTCCAATCAAAGAATTTTGATTTGAGGGGTAATACATCATCCGACGATGAAGTTCTATTTAAAGATTGTCGAAACGTTTCAGTCTCCTGCGAGCCCTGATCTTGTATAACCTGCCGTATAGTCAATGCAACATTTTCGGCATGTTGAGTTTCCAACAATTGATCATGAATATAATCAATAACAGCAGATGCAAGCTGAGAAACTTCAGTATCAGGATCAGATGATAAATTCAACAATGCTTTCCAAATACACGTGTATACAGTACTAGTTCTACTTGCGGGTTGCCGAGTCAAGGATTTCCTTCGAATTTCTTGCAATTCCTCAAAAGCAGCACGCGTAAAATGTTCAATATACGCATTTACGATATGAGAAAGAGCAATCACTAATTCTCGACGGACTATAGGAGAAGCATCGTTAATAGCATCGAGAGCGTTAATTGCTATGTTCTGCTCAATATTTACGATTTGCTCGGTACGACTCAAATCTCCAATAAAAGTTCCTAAAGCATAAAGCGCAGCAGCACGAACTTCAGGAACCGGATCGATTAAAAGTCCAAAAAGCTTCAAATGGGCTTGATTTTCAATACCCTCACTCTTTGCTTCTACATAATTAGTCCAATATTGACCAATACATAAACAAGCCCACTGTCTTAAAAGTGCGTCAACATCATTAATCCGAGCTAAACACGCGTGTAAAACGTTAGATTTCTTACATGCAGCCTGTCCTTGATTAAAATTTGTGCAAAATATTGCTAAAATAAAAGCACACATTGCACGATGTTCAGCTTCATTTGGAATATTTAACATACTACTAGGAGATAAAATATTCACAAAATAAGTATAACCATTGTCCTTTAATAAATCTTGTTGGCAAGACCTATCAACAGCCAAAATTCTAGCCCAAATAAACACTAAGGGAGGTTTCAAATCCGCAGCAGGACTTTGTAATAATTTCAATACATAAGGGAAGATACCTATTGATAATGCTAAACTGACGGCACGAGGTCCTAAATCCAAATATTTACTTAATAACCCTAATGCTCGAGATCTATGTACTTGACTAAGAAGTACTTGCAACACTATCGGTAATTGTTCAGGTGGTTTTTGCGAAACAGAGCCTTTTGATAACCATACTTGGAATGCGGTTAACTGTTCATCAAAGAAGCTAGAATGTTTATACTCAACTTCTGGTCCTCCACTTTCCGCATTTAAAAGGGATGGTAATTGTGCTAAACACATATCAACAGCAAGATCCCATGAGTCCCACATAGGATGATCGTGAGTAGGTGGTAACTGAGGATGAGACATGGGATTACATTGATAACGTCGCATGATTCTTTCTGCCAACAGAAAATTTCTAAATAACGCAGCAACCATGAGATCTTGTCGGAATAATTGTTTAAATAAACCTCGGGGGAGTACATTCCAAGCAATGGTATCCGTGATAGCCGTAAAAATCCAATTTAATTCTCCCAGCGGTGTTCTACGATCCTGTAACCTACCAGGAAGTTTCATCACCATATCAACCGTAAGAAAAGTTGGTAATGGATTCTGTAAAACAAACCATCTTAAAGCTATCTCTATTGGAGAAGTTAAACATGATGTGAATAAATCTGCTGGTAAATGAGGATGCATCGGTAAGGTTTCATTAGGTCCACAAGCAGCCAATTGAATATTAAGAGGTGCTTGCGGAACGGAATTTGAATCAGCCCTAGCAGCTTCTAAATATCGTTGCTCTGTAAAGCGTTTAAAACTTTCTAATATATTACCAGCAGCAGAACAATCATACACATAAACGCAAGGAGACCCTAACCATGATTGTAAATCACCCAAAGATACTGGAATATATTGAGTAAAGTGTTTATTAAAACACCATATTTCCCCGCTTGCTGTAGGTTTAGGGACACCATGACCATTATAATGAAATAATATACGTTCTTCTCTTGCACTCTTTCTTAAATTTGTACAAAATTTTTTCATCTCATCTACCGAAGGATCTAAATATTGTTTATAACGAGTTCTGATGCTGAGTTGTTCATATTGAGCCTGAAGATTTCTGCCAATTGCGTCCAAAGCCTTAGCAGGAGGCAAAGCAAAAGGGTCAACCCAACATTCTAATTTTGCACAAGGACTTGGTTTAACTACGTCTGGTGGGTCTACACCAATATTTAAACATAGGACTAAGGCACCTGAAACAGTCTTAAGTCTTTCACGCATTCTCCAATCCTGAACAGACCCTTCCTCCCGGTTTTGACCAGCTGTAGAAGTATGACGTTTTTCTATATAATATACATATTTAGATTCTGTTGTGTTCATGTGTTCAATTCCATTGATTCCTTTAATTGCATCTCGATCCATTGTCATTCCAAAAGTTGACTCACAGATCTTCTGCCTATTATTACTTCCGTCACAACTTATTTCGTCCGCTTCGTTCGTTAATGAATATATTAAATGACGTATTTGCTTCGAAATTAAATCCAAAAATAACATTTGAATTTCAATCAAATTCTAAAGAATGATTGTTCTCGAGAAAAGATTGAAAGAGACCTCGAGAAGTTGATTATCTTTTTTACCCCATTGTCAATACAAAAATCCAAAGTCATATGATCATAGAATTATAGATCATATCTGATAAAAGATATCGTATGCAAAACTGTGCCAACTATTCCAGAATTAGTACTCGTGTACTTGAGTGTTCTTTATGAATCTGGCGCAACAAAAATAATAAACCTTGTGCTTGATAACAATCTTTCAATCAATTTGATTATATTAT